GAACAGCTCTTGCCATGATGTGCATCTGATGCATGAGGCAGTCCCCGTCGAACAACCAGGCCCAGACGTTCGAAACTGTCTCTAAGTGCATCATCTTACGAGCTGATTTCTCGTCCGATCCAGCGTCGGTTGTGTATAGCCACAATGATATATGCTTGGTAGGCTGCGTCGATACACGATGCCACTCTGTAATCTCATGTGCTGGATCGACGTACGGAGAGACCGTTTTTCAAAACAAAACTCAGACTCCTCATCCTCTTCCCCCCACTCAAAATCCTCATCAATCCTCCTCTCCTCCTCGTGCTGCCTCCAACTGCTCTTTCTCTGTTCGATGGCCCTTCCCGAAAAACAGCGCTCACCTCAACAAGATCAGAAGCTGCCGCTTCCGCCTCATCTTGGATGGGAAGCTCGCCGCCGCCGAAAACCAGAGGCCGATAATCTAATAACCTACAGGTCCAGCCGTCTTCGCACGCGCTCATCAATTGCTTGGAAACCATACCATGCGCACCCAAGGCTGTTGAAGATCCGCACACCTGCAAGTCACCCAAATCCTGCCGAAACTTGAAATTGCGCCAGACCCAGTCCCAATAATCATGCTGATGTATCGATTCAGTTTCATACCCAGACCCCACCTCCAGACTGTGTAGTTTGCATGTTTGCCAGACCTCTGCGTTTGTGGCGCCCCCGCGGAGCGCATGCAAACTGATGGTGGTGGAACTCTGATCGTTTTCCTCGTGTGCACGGGAATGGAGAAAAGCCAGCCGTGTCCCCATGTTTCGGTAGAACCATTTAGCAGCGGCCTTGAGGGCTGCACGCAGATGTATTTCGTATTTCGTCACAGTTGGGTGGCTGACATCGAGCTCGCATGAAAGGCCCAAAGACATTGCTGGCGAATTGGATACACATCGCCTGAAGGCGATCCGCAAGCCCCCCTCTGGTGTAAAGTATATGTCGCCCTTCGTTTTAAGCGCCACTGCATGTTGTGTATCCCCTTTCATATGGACAAACCTATATGTATCTAACTTCTGGAGCTTTCCTTCGAGGTAGCGGATCGTTTTGTCTCGCCGGTCCAGTTTTCTCTTGGCTATTTTTCTATATTGTTTGAACTCCTTTCGGAGCTCTGATAACGTTGTCGCCCGCTCTTCGTATCCATCTGAATCTTTCCCAGGGTCCCCAGCCAAGTCACTTGCAGCAACGATCACCCCGTCTGGCACCGAAGGCACCGTCTCTGGCTCACAACCTGGCCCCAAACCAAGAGTTGTAGCAGTATCCCTCCGCACGTGTGCTGGAAGTACAAGGCCAATCGTTGCAGCCCACTCGCGAAAATCACGCCAAGTAAGGTCCTACATGTGCGCCAAAAATGCATCTGCACAAAAATCCCTATCCTCCTCCCCCTGCTCCTCCTCCTCTTCCTCCTTCTCCTATCTCCTCCTTCTCCTCCTCCCCCTCGTGTTCCTCCTCGCCCTCCTTCTCCGTTGCTCCTCCTCATCCTCCTCCTCCTCCTCTCTCCTGCTTCTCCTCATGCTCTGGATTGCCCCAGTCCTCGTCGTCTGCGCGTCGCTTCACCTGCCTCGTGCCCCTGGAGACGAGTGCGGCAGACAGCCCGACGAGGGCAGCAATCTCCTTCACAGCACAAAGGAGATCATCCTTGGAGGCAAATCTGACAGTGCCATCCCTGATGGACGCGTGGCGAGCACTTGCAAATGCAATGGCGCGAGACGCCATAATTCTGAATGAAAGGGTTCGGGCCATCATGCCAACAACAAATGATGACGCACGACGAAACACGCACCTGAGAAATATCGAGGGGCGACGGAACGCAAGGGCGATGATGAGACGCGTGTGACGTCTATTTCTCACTAACAGTGATTGCATGAATGTGGAAATCGCACGCTCGTATTTGTATATAAAATGAAGGTCGCACGTGCGTTTTTTGATATTGTGTGTTTTGTGTTTGAGATATGAAATGATTGTGACGTGGTGGAAATGACATGAATAGCACGGCATGGTCTTAGCTGACAATGGAAACGCAACGTTCGGGAGCTCAGTTTTTCAATTACGTGGTGTCGGCGGTGACCATCTGGCGTCTCCGACACACAAGGGGGAGGTCATCGAACAGGCAAGAAAGGAGGTCGAGTTTCATACCCACCGGGGGCTAAGGCTTTTCCATCCGCCCCCGTGTGCTGTGCCCCCGTCCGCGGCGCCCAGGGCCCCCTGAACGGGGGCACAACCAAACGTGAAGAACGGCGTTCCCCGTGCCCGCGTTTGCTGTGCTGTGGCTCTGTCTCCGGCGCCCCGATGCTCTCCGGGTGCCGGAGTGCCGGGACGTCGAGCGGCCCGGAGAGGGCCGAGGCCTGGAGATAGGGGAACAAAAAGTCGCATAAACATAACAACTCGGAGGTCCGCGCGGATTTCTCGGATCGGCGCTGGACCCCCCTCCCTGGCGCGCGGAGCGCGCCAGGGGCGGCGCCGGAGGCGCCGCCGAGGGGGCCCAGCGCCGATCCGAGAAATCCGCGCGGACCTCCGAGTTTTTATGTTTATGCCACTGTTTGTCCCCCTACGGAGAGGCCGCGGGGGCCCTCGGCCTCCCCGCGCACCTGCCGCCGCGGGCGGGCGGGCCCGGCGTCCTCCTCGGGCCCGTGCGGCGCGCCAGCCCGCGCCACCTCTCGGGGGCTCGGGGGGGGCCGCTGGGCGGGGGGGAGGCCGAGCGGCCACAGCGGTGGGGACCCGCGGCCCTTGGACCCCTTATAACGCCTCGTGCCCGGACCCCCTCGCGTCGCGACAGAGAGCACGACGGGGGGCTCTTCGCCGTCTTCGGCCTGCGGGCGGGGGGCCTGCCGGGCCTCGGGGGTCGTCAAAGGAGGGCTCGGCCTGAAAAGCGGGTCCCCGGTAGGGGGTCCACCCGACCTTCTTGGGGGTTCCTCGTCTTTATTTTTTTTTTGGGGGGGGAACACGACGTCGGGGGTCCGTGTGCCGACGATCTGTCGGGAGGCGACGGAGCCGCTGGGTCCTCCAGTGGGGCAAGGACCAAAGCTCCCCCAGTTGCGGCCAGTCTGGGAGGGAAGCCCCGAACCCCGATCCCCGACGACGTGGACTTCGGTGACGGCGACGAGGGCGGCGGCGACGACGACGACGACAGACCTCTCGACCTCCTGGGGCGCGTTCCGACCAGGATCTTGAGGAGGATCCAGCCGTGGCGACGGCGGCGGCGGCGGAGACGGCGACGCCGCGCCACCAGCTGCGCCAGCGCCGCGGCCCCCTGCCGACCGTCCTGGGCCGTCGACCCTGCGACCTCGATCCTCGAGCCTCGGCCCCCGGACCCTCGACGATCGATCGCCGAGCCTCGACACCTCGACGGCGGCGGCGACGGCGACACCCCGCCGTCAGCGGCGCGGGCACCGCGGCCCCCTGCCAGCCGTCCTCGGCCTCGGCCAGCCAGCCCACCTCGACCGGCTGGTCGGCGTCCTGGGGCGCGTCGGGGCTGGCCCACGGCTCGCCCCCGCGTCCCCGACCGATGGTGATAGATCCGATGCCGCATGCTTTTTTATATAAACAACAGTGCCGTATGTCGCAGCCTCCAGGCCTCAGCAGGTTCCGCGAGGCCCGAAGCCTCCCGCCTCGCGTCCTCGATACATCGCAGACAGGACCTCCGCGCTGGACCCAGACCTCCGACGGATTGATCCTTCCATGCGCGTGCCACAGAGGTCTCGACCCCTCACCGGTGACAGCTTTACAGTCCTGCCCTCATGTCTGGCAGTGCCAGGGCCAGAAGACTGCCCCTGAAGGCCGACATGCAAAAGGACAACAGCGGCGGAAGTGATCAATCCCATCCGCCCGAGGTCCAGGAAGGGTGGCCCGCTGGTGCTGGTGGTGCCGATCTGCCGAGTCACCCAACTTGGCGCGTCGCGCACCGCGAGGCCACGCCAGGTCATCGTCGCGCCTTCACTGAAGCCTCGGCTACACGCAAGAGCGACCCTCAGCGCGCGGCCAAGAGGGGGCCCTGTGGGGACACCGCCAGGCGCGCAGGCAGCTGCTATCGCCTCGCATTCGGCGATCGTGGGGCCGCATTGGGCCCGGCCCGCACCAACTGCCACTCCGGCGAAGGGTCACTCTTACTCGGGTGTTGCTAGAAGTGCCCCTGGCCCAAGGTACCCCCAGCTCTCCGCTCCATTTTGGAGCCCCTGGGGCCCTCTGGGCCTCGAGAGGGGTGCCCTGGAGGCCGTCTGGGCCACCCCTGGAATCCTAGGGGTACCTTGGGCCAGGGGTACCTCTAGCAACACCCGACTGACGTGTAGTCGAAAGCCACCCTGGTAGAGGGCAGCTCCCCGATCCAGGCCGCGACGCGTGGAAGAACCGCGATTGCCTTCACGCCTCCGCGGGTGACCTGGACCTTCACGCGGCCTGGGACGCTCCGATCCCTTCCTGGGGTTTGAATATGCGAACCGTTCGTGAACTTAAAATGCGATCGGGGTGCCTACGCCTGACGATCTGAGCCTCTTGTGCGGAAACCACGCGCGCGGCACCGGACTGGAGGATGCTGTTCCATTCCTTAGTGTCCGAGAGCACGAACAGCCTCCTCTCCTCCTCACTCAGATCCTTCAAGTTCACCTCAGCCCCACGACGAGCAGGAGGAGGAGACGACTCCGACGACGGACGAGGGCCAGACTGGTTCCCGAAAGAGTTCTCTGAGAGTCCCTCGGAGTCCCAGCCGTACCACCCGCAGAGTTCCTTCCACAGAGCCTCATCTTGGGCCTCATCGGTCTGGAGTGCGCACCAGCTGCCGAGGTCCTCGTCTTCTCCGGCATAGATCTGCCCCAGAGGGTCCCTCGGAGGAGGGGATCTTGATCTCTTTCTCTCTCTCGACAAGGGGAACCTCTGGTGCCTGAGACGGTGCCGGAGCTGACCTGTGGACTCCCCGCAGAATACACTGGGGCACATCGTCGTATCCTCGATTCCTAGTTCCCTCAATCTCTCGAATGGCTGACTGGGCGCGTCCTGGCTGATTGGGGCGCTCCTCGGCCGGTGTCAGACTCGGTCTAACGGCCGACGGCTCCTGATCGGGCTCTGGCCGCATCTGCGATGTGGGTCTAACTCGTGGCTCCTCTCGCGGAGGCGCTTCAAAATCAAGTCCGAGGGGAGGCAAAGAGGAGACGGAGGGAATCTATCGAACGGAGGAGGGAGGTAAGGCGGGAGAAAGAGCAGTAGACGCAAAGGCCTCTCTCGCTGGCAGCACCCCCATCGGGCACGGCGGGCGGAGACGGCGACGCAGCAGGCTCCGCTGTTGCCAACGGAAGTTCGGGACTCGGCCTCTGGGCGTCGGCCGTGACGCCCCAGGCCTCGGGCGGAGGCGGTCCCTCGCCCTCCGCGTCGACAGCGCCGACTCGACCGTTCGGGCGCTGAAGCTCGACTCTCACATCGGCAAGCTCGGAGCAGTCAAACAATTCGGCCCCCGCGGCCTCGTCTCTAGCAGCCAGTCTCACTTGCTCCACCGAGCACTTGAGTAAACGCGTCCTCATCGCCACCCACACGGTGGTCCCTTGTTGAAACGCGGTGGCCCCGGGTCTCGTCCATCGAGCTCTCGACCCCCCCCTGGACCGGTCTCCGGCGTTCGGTCTTCGCCAGACGTGCGCCCAGGACCCCTGGGCGAAAACCTTGTCGGCATGTTTTCTGGAAGAGCTGGCTGCCTTGAGACGTTCTCGCACGTCTAGAGACACGGTGGCCTTTCTGTCCACTCCGACATCATCGACAGCATCGTTTGAGAGGGGGGCGTGTGGTAACCTAAAGTTTTCTCCGAACACCATCTGATACGGGGGGTAACCCCCCTTGGGTAAACCAGTTCTTCGCGGCGGGGGCTTCGCAAGGGAGGTCCTCGAGCTCCCCGGGGTTTCTCAACGCGGCAACGCTGGAGGCCTTCAAGAGGCCGTGTTTCACGAGACCTCCGTAGACCTCCGTGTCTCTCGCATAGTCCGTTCTGCCAGGGACTGGCCGCGTCGCACACGTGATGGTCTATACCTAAACCCTCGAGCCCTCTCGAGGAGACCCCCTCGAACTCTGAGCCCCCATCGCTCATCGCCAACTCCGGGATGCCGAAAGGACGAATCCAGGCCATCACGAATGCTGACCACACCGGAGAAGCCGTTTCAATCTTTAGCACAGTGCAGACCTGGTAGTTGGAACCGTGGTCGATGATGTTCAGGATGCGAATCGATTCCTGAAAAGCAGTTATATAGAACAAATCGACGGCCACCAACTTATTAAGACGATATGTCCTGGGAAGCTGCGCTCTTCGCCTCCAGCGGGGTCTTGAGCTGGGGAAGAAGGAGGGAGGAAGGGGGAGTGGGGGGAGAGGGGCGATCTCCAAACGGTCCCTTGTCGGGGAGGGCAACATAACTATAATGATATCGCTACTCCCCGGACTTTTCCCTGGGTGCGTCCTGTCTCAAATAACAAGGCGGATCCAGCTGTGGCGACGAGGGCATTCCAGGAGGCCCATAAGGAAGAAAACGAAGTAATAATAGCGGTAACAAAACCTCTTCTTCCTCCTCCTCCTCCTCTTTCTCCATCCTTCTCCTGATACATACCTCCCTGTCGCACACCCCGGCGTGCCGGTAGGGCGGGCCAAGCGTTTCGCCTGAGACCCACTCGCCATGTTTCCAAAGCTTGATCTGTGCAACCGCTTCAAGGATAGAGAGTGGCTCCTTTTCAAAATGTTTGGCTCTCGCCTTAGCGCCGAGCAGATTCGTCCGATAAGTTTGCAACAGCTTCAAGGATGGAGGGCGGGAGAGCGCTTCTTGCGGGAACCTGGGAAAAGGGAACTTGGAGGGAGGCTTGATTGCAACATCGTGTTTGCGTCTGGGGTTTACACTGGTACTCCTCCACCTCCTCTGACCTGTGACTGCACTTGGGCGGTCCTGCGAGGCCGCCCACGCGAGGCGATGCCTGCCCGACGCGTCGCCGGCGAAGCACCAGCCGGGCTCCGCCGCCGCGCCCAGGCCTGGCACGTCCTCCGCCATGGCGGGGCGAGGCGAGGGGCAGGAGCTATTCTGATGTTCCTTAACACGTTTGTGTCCTTGTGTGCGATGGGTGTGGCCGCGATGCCGCTCCGCGACCACTGCCAGGCTGCTTAGCACGGGCTGGCCGCACTGGCTTCTCCTGACGAACGCCTTCGCGCAGTGAATGCCCTCCTCTAGGTTCTGCGGCCGCCCTCCACCCCCTTCTCCTATCTTGCAGCCGGACAATTCGTTCGCCCGATCCTGGCCAACTAGAGCACGCGTGCGGATCGCCTGTGCCACGCTGCGACGGAATCTACATATTCCTCTCACTATATTTTTATAAATCCGGGCGGGGGGAAAACTTGCCCCCCCCCCCCACAAAAACGGACTCCCGGGATCTGGGGTTTTGGGACCCTCCGGACGGGCCTCGAAGCGGCCACCGGACCTCGCAGGGCGTTTTGCCAAGCCTTCGCAACACACCTAGGGCGATCAGGGGGGTCATCGGAGACGTTCCAGAGACCCCCAAGACAGCACAAGAGCGCTCCACCACACCACCACCACACCCACCACAAACACCACCACCACAACTCACCATCACCACCACCACAAAAACACACCACCACGACCACCACCACCACCACCACCACAACAATCTACCACACCACCACCATCACCGCCACAACCACCACCACCAGCACAACCCACCACCACCACAAACCACCCCACCACCACCAACAACAACAACAGCACCACCCCCACAAACCACCGTCACCACCTCAACCCACCACCACCACCACAAACCACTACCACACCACCACCAAACCACCACCACCACAACCCACCACCACCACCACCACCACCACCACCACCACCACCACCACAAACCACCACCGCACCACCAAACCACCACTACCACCACCCACCACCACAACCACCACAATCACGACAAACCACCACACCACCACCACCACAACCACCACCGCCGCCACTACCACCACCACAACCCACCACCACCACCACCATCGTCCTCGTCGACGCTCCCCGCCGCCGCCGCCCGCCGCCGCAAGCGCCTGCGCCGGCCCAGAACAGGAAATCGTTATCCCCGCCGCTGCCGCGAGCCGCCGCCGACGCAAGCGCCGGCCCGAGGAGAGGGGAAGCCGGGGAGGGAGGGGGGGGTTCGAACCCCCTCCCCCCCTCCGACACGGGGGGGGGGTCGAACACCCATCCCCCTCCATCCAGTGGGGGGGGGGTCCTGTTCCAAACCCCCTCCCCCCTTCAAACGACCACGGAACGCGCTCTTTCGGAGGTACCCGCATCTTTCGGACGTCTCTGGTGGTCTTCCCTTCGCAACCCGTACCCGTCGTTTCGACCTCTCGCCCATTTCACCGTGGGCGACGGGTCGAGCAATACAACTGCCGTCCAGGGGCCAATGTCAGATCCGACAGCTCAGCAGTCGGGCCGAGCTAAAGGGAGTCAACGCAACGGACGGGATGAAGTGCGGGAGGGTAAGGGTGTCAGATCTGGCGCGAGCGCACCTGGCTTGCCCATGTTCCCCCGCCCCTGCTCCGCTCCCTCCCCTTCCCTCCTCTACCCTCACCCCGCGCCCCACGCCCACCCATCCACTGCCCCGCCCCGCCGCCCCGTCCCCTCCGCTCCTCGCCTCGCTTCCCCGGGAAAGGGAGGGAGGAGGCAGGAGCGGGGTGGGGTGGGGGGATGATGTTGGTCAGCTGGAGGAGAACGCTGTCCCTGCCTCTCTACCGATGAAGGAAAAAATGGGGAGGGATGACGAAGGTGAGGAAGGAACTGACCCGCGGGGCTCAGATTGCATGACACAAGAAACGGGGCGGGGGAGGAGGAGGAGCAACCTCTCCAAAACCTGACGTCGCGACTCGGTTTCTCGTCCTGGGTTGTTTTGTTGGCAACGCCTGGGCCGGATAAGGCCCTCCCCGAGAGGAAGACGCCTGCCTGAGAAGCCGCGACTGTTTCACAAAACAGAAGGACTGCTTCATCCCTACGCAAGGGGTCCGGGTCGCCCCCATCGCCCCGTGGACCCCCTCGGGGGCAGCGAGCGCGCCTCGACCCGAAGTAGGTAGAACTTGCCGTCGCCGCGGCGGAAGACGCCCGCGCTCTCCTCCGCGCGGGTGCCCTGCCCCTGCTGCTCCGCACCACCTCGAGACGAACTTGTATACAACAACCATGCATGTTTGCATGCATGTGTATATATATATATACATGTCTATACTTGGATCCAGCGTGGGCCCCACGCAATATGCTCTCGTATGCTGCGTGATGCAATCTAAGCCGTGGAAGCGATCTGGTGCAATAGGTGTGATGCGGAACTGCAACACGTACGGTACCATACATGTGGTGCAATGAATGTGATGCCATACATGTGGTGCAAACTAGGTGGTGCAATCTATGTGGTGTGGGCTACGTGGTGCAATCTACGCTGTGTAATATAAGCTCGTTGTGGTGAAATCTAGGTTGTGCGATATACGTTATTCAGCATCGGCTGTGTACACTGCGTGCTGGTTTATTTGTGGTGCGGTAGATGTGGTGCAATACATATATGTATGTTTATATATATATATGTACATATGGTGTGGAATCTGTGTGGTCTACGATGAGCTCTGGATGTGGTGCAAGCTTTGTTGTGCAATCGATGTGGTGCAATTAATCCCACAAGCCCTTTAGGGCGTGAGTGGTTTAGAGCGTTTCCTCTTCCACCCCTGCTCTTGCCATTCGGGGAGGGGTTTACCCCTCCCCCTAACACTATCCCCCTGGGTTTGGAAGGGGAAGGTCAGTCAGAGCGTCCAAAGTTCCCTCGGCGAGGAAGCCAACACCATTGATTTGATTAAGCTGTTGACCGCAAGTTGGCCTCCAGGAGGGGGGGAAAGATGGCCCCAAGATGGCCCCCGAGGTTCTCAAGAATACCCCGAGATGGCCCCAACATGCACCAAGGAAGCGCCAAGAGGCCCCCCAAATGCCTCCACGATGCCCCCACGAGGCTCCCAAGAGACTCCCCAAAGGCGCCAGGAGGCTCCCCCAGCAGCATCCAAGACGCCCTAAGAGGCCTCGGCGATAAGGCCCAACATCACTTACGTATTTTACAAGGGTGTTGGCCCCATGTCGGCCTGGACCTAAACTCAGGAGCCCCCCCCCTTGGTCGCCGAGGTCTCGCCTCGGTGGTGCCCTGTGCCCGCTCGCAGGCGCTGGTTGGCGCCCCGTGCCCTGGGTTGGTCCGCCGAGTCTTCGCCTGGTGCCTGCCAGCCCGTGTGCGCCTCGTGGGCGCCCGTGGGCGCGCCGTGCACTGGGTGGGCACATAGCTTTCACACCATGGCTCACACCGCATGGCTGGCACCGCCTAGCTTTCACAACGTAGCTCACGCCACATTGGTCACACCGCATAGCTTACACGCGATAGCTCGCGCAATATCAGCTCACACATAAGAGAGCACCTCAATGAGCTCATATCACGTAGCATGCACACCATAGCCCACATATGTGACTCCGTACAGCTTGCACCACATAACTGACATTGCACAGCTAACTTCGCATATGTTTCACCCCACTCTGCATGAACTCACTGCTGTTAAAAAACGATGCTGATGTTGCTGGGGGGCACGAGCTATGGAGTACACGATCTCCTGCTCGAGACCGAGAGGGTCTGCACATCATCGTGGGACCCATGGTGATCCTGGCTGGCTATGGCAGTGGCGTGTAAATGCCGTCAACGGCGGAGCGCCATGCCCTCCGGTTGTCGAACAGTTGTAGGAACGCGGCCGTATGCCACCCTGGCTTGGGCTGGGGTGGGCGCGCACACGAGCGCACAACAAGTCAACGCCGATGCTGCTGCCGATCCCCCTACCCATCCCCCTCCCGCTCCTCCTCCTCCTCCTCCTCCTCTCCTCCTCCTCCTCCTCCTCCTCCTCCTCCTCCTCCTCCTACTCCTCCCCTACCTCCTGTCCTCCTCCTCCTCTCCTCATCCTCCTCCTTTCCTCCTCTCCTCCTCCCTTTCCTCTTCCCTCCTCCTCCTCCTCCTCCTCCGCCTCCTCCTCCTCTTTTGTTTCTCCTCCTTTTCCTCCTCCTCCTCCTCCTCCTCCTCCTCCTCCTCCTCCTCCTCCTCAGTGCCCTCCTTCTGCTCCTGCCCACCTCCCCCCGCCCGCCCCAAGTCTCCTCCCACCTCTGCCGCGCGGCTGCGCCCATGCCAGCGAGCGCGCTGTCCCGCACTGTCCTGGGCCCATCCCCCGCCCTCGCGGCCTCGTCAGTCCTCTTCCCCGCCCCCCTCCAGTTCCACGTCCGCGCCAGTCACCTTCGAAGACCCATCGAGGTCCCCAACGGGTCTAGGGGGCCTTCTGGCAGCCTTGGATGGCCAATTGCTAGTCGACAACGGTCTGACCTCCAAGACCCTAGAGAACGAGCGCGCATGGAAATATCCGAACTATAATCCGACCGGCTCTCCCCGTCTTTCTGTGAGGAATCCCCTCCTCTCCCAGGCCCCATTCCCTCCTTGCTGGCCCTGCCGCCTCCCTCGCGGCGCGCCGCTCCTCCGTGTACGTGCCCTGCAGCTGGGACACGAACTGGCTGGTCTCGTCGTCGGCCTCCGGCGCCACTCCCCCGTCCCTCCCCAGTGGCGGCGCCGCAGGCGCCGCCAAGGGGTCCCAACGCAGATCCAAGAGATCCGCGCGGAGCTCCGAACGTTTATGTTCGTGTGGTGTTCTCTTCTGCAGGCATCGAAGTTCGCGCGAACTCTGCAAGGGCGGCGGGCGCCAGGACGAGTGGGAACTCCCATGCAGGCCTTGCGCGCATCAGGGCCCACCGCCGCAGTGCCTCCCGCGCTGAGGCAGGAGCCCGCGGCCAGCTCAGACCTGGATCTGAGCCGACGTGGTGCTCTGCGTTCAACATTGCAAGAAGCGCTGCGCGTTGTCGGAGCATCAGCGCGGTGGCGGCAGATGGCAGCTCTCTTCCCTCCTCCTCGTCGTCCTCGACGTCGTGATTGTGTCATAACGTCGACCCCAAGAAGTCTCGACCCTTCCCTGGGACCGCTTACTCATCCTGAATTGTTACTGTTACGGCCCCGAGGCCCGCGAACGGCCCCCAGAGGCCGAACATAGGGAAACACCTTCCTGCCCGTACCATGAGCTGTGCCAGGAGGAGGAGGAGGAGGAGGAGGAGGAGGAGGAGCAGGAGGAGGAGGAACAAAGGAGGAGGAGGAGGAGGAGGAGGAGGAGGAGGAGGAGGAGAGGAGGAGGAGGAAAGGTGGAGGAGGAAAGGTGGAGGAGGGGAGGAGGAGGGAGGAGGAGGAGGAGGAGGAGGAGGAGGAGGAGGAGGAGGAGGAGGAGGAGGAACAAAGGAGGAGGAGGAGGAGGAGGAGGAGGAGGAGGAGGAGGAGGTATTTCTCCTCTGGCAGCTGCTCCCTCGGCCCCGCCACGGCCTGCAGCGGCTCCGCAGGGCTGCAGGCCGCCCGCGGAGCTGGCCAGTAGAGGGGCGGCGCTCGGCACGCTCCGGCTGCAGTCGCTCCCTCGCGAATCGCTCCTCCCACGCGGTGGCGCTGCGGCAGCCTGGCCGGTGTCCTCGCTGCTCCCCCGCGCCCAGGCCAGCAGAGGAGCTGCTGAATGTTCCGGCACTGTGGCAGCCTGGCCGACTGTCTCGCTGCTCCCCCGCGCCCAGGCCAGCAGGGGAGCTGCGAGTCGTGCGAGCTGCTTGCGGAGGGCAGGCGGGGGAGGCAGGGCGGCGGACCGCTGGAGGGGGCGGCAGCGTGCCCCAGCGGACTCGTGGAGCACACCTCGGCGGCGAGCGAGGGGGGGGAAGCGAGGAGGAGAAGGCCCTCTCGGGAGGCGGCGAGACTCCTCAGGAGCCCTCGCGCAATCTGAGAAGTCTTCTGCGTCTTCGGGGGAGTCTCCGAGCCTTCTGAGAGGGCCTTCTCCTTCTCACTTCCTCCCCGCCGCTCGCCGCCGAACACACAACAGCGAGGACCTCGCTCGCAGAAGCCCTGGCCGATCCGAGCAGCGCAGCCAGGCCAGCGCCCGGCTGCCGCGGGCACCGTCAGCAAACAAAAGACAAGCACAGCGGACACACACACATGAGATAAAACATTAAGGACTGGTGGTAAGGACGCAAGACCCTTGGAGGACGAAGTTAGGATTTTTGGGGCGGCGGGCGACCAGTGAAAACGGCAAAGGACGGGTTGCAGAGGCAAGGACACGAGGGTACCCTAGATGAAGGCGCACGTCCTTACTAGGCGCGTTCACTGTAGGACAACTCGGGGCACACTCTCCGTCGAGCGCTGATGGGGTCCCGAGGTGCCCCAAGCATTCTCTATGGGTCCCCAGGGCCATCGGGGGACATAAGAAGCTTCCGTGGGGCACCTGCTGGAAAAGTGTTCTATCTTGAGAGGCAACGATAGGGGGGATAGGCATAGGGGGGGAAACATCGACCTGGAAGCGGCGATATATCGCCGATAAATCGGCGATAGGCCCCCGACATCAAACCCGCACCTTCCTGGGCAGGTTGGGGCTATCGGGCCCCTGTCGGCGATCAGTGTGCGATTGGGGGTCGATGCACCCCACCCTATGCCTGTCTCCCCATCGTTCCCCCTGATTCCTTACTGGCATACCTACTGCTGTGGTCTCGCACTGCATTCTTTCGACCGTCTGGCCGTCCATGTCCTGGATGCGTTGAGCTGGAGAGCATCCTGGAGGTATCCTCGTCGATGCCCAGGAAGCGTACGCCCTGGATGCCATGGAGGTGTCCTTGCGAATGCATTGGAAGCGTACTCTAAGGCGTACTGGAAAGAGCCATGTAGGTATCCTGGCGGATGCCCTGGACGGGTACTGGATTGCGTCCTGGATGCGTACTCCACGGTGTTGGAAGCGTCTGTCCTGGATGCGTACTCGGAGGTTTCCTGGAGAGTGCTCTGGAGGTGTCCTGCCCGATGCCCTGGAAGCGTGCTGGATTGCGCCCTGGCGGCGTATTCCGACCGTCTGGCGCCCCCGGGTCCCCCGGCGCACCTTCTCTGGAGGTCCCTTCAGGCCGTCCGATTGTCCAGCCTGCCCCCCCGCCCTTCCCCCAGCACCCCCCCTGGAGGCTCATTCCGACCGCCTGGTCGTCCGGCGTTCCCATTGCCCCCTTGGCCCCCCCCCTTCCCGTCCGACCGTCTGGAGCCCCCCCGCCCCCTTCCTCGGCGCCTGGCTTGGGGGCTCATTCCGTCCGGCCGACCGTCCGGCGCCCCCTTGCCCCCTGGGCCCCTCCTCTGGAAGCTGATCCCAACCGCCCAGCTGTCCGGATCTGGAGGCTCCTCGTTGGAGGCCCACCCAAACCTACCTCGTCCTCTTTCCAGCCGCGACTGCAAGAATAATGTGAGCATCTCGTCCTCTTCCTCCTCTTCCTCCTTCTCCTCCTCCTCCTGTTCCTTCGCATCCTCCCCATCATCGTCAAGAAAGGCACTTGGCTGTCGAGCGTCGGTCCAGTCCCCGCATGCGTGGAGATCATGCGCTTACCGTCGATATCACCATGCTCATCTCCTATACCAGGGCTTGCCTGCGCGAAGACTGTGTGCACCGCTCCAGAGAACGCCATGGCCGTCCTCCCTGGCCGTTCTGACAGCACGGTGGCGTCACTCAGAACAACACTCCCTGAGCCCTTACAAGCAAGGCTGGCGGCAGCGGAGAGTGGCGCCATGGTCTTGATCCGAGGGCGTTGGGTGGCTCGTCGAGGTCTAGCCGCGGTCGCACATAGGATTCAACACATCCAAAGAAAGACCTGCCAGTGCGAACGAGGGCGAGAAACACGTTCACGATCACGTCGTGTGCACAACTCTGCCCAAGATCGGCGGAACTTCTGTTAGCAATCGCACACCGTGCAAGGTGAAGACTTGGGGCTGCGCAACGTCGGCCCCCATGGTACTCTAGGCCAGGGAAACAACTGCCCATCGAATGACTACCCCGGTCAACCCTGCGGCCCGCGCGGGCCAACCCTCGAGCAGCCAGCCCCGACCAACCATCCCGGCCCACCCCTCCAGCGAACCCAGGTCAGGGTACGTATACTGCCACATGTGCACCCAGGCCCTGCCCAGAGTGGCCTCGCCGTGCGTGCCCAGCAGGAGCCGCACGGACGGAGCGCAGCAGGGTTTTTTGCGAGCAGGCGGTGTCGCGCGTCGGCTCTTCCAGAGCAGCCCCCTCTTCCCAGGCGGGGGAGGGCTTGCTCCTCCCATTTCCTCTTCGCGAGGCGTTCGAGGGGCAGCTTTGGCCCACGATGGCTCCGAGATGGCCCCGCATAGCCAAAGATGACATCCCAAAACGGCGCACGACGGCCAGAGCCAGCCCAGATTGCCTCCATGATGGCTCCAAGATGGCTCCAGCACTGCTATGGCTTGAGGAAGGTGGCCCCGAGCATCCCGGCAATGCACCCGGGCGAACAAAATCATTGAACAATCTTTACCGTCAATCCGAATCATAAGGATGGGCGGTAAGGATGCAGGAGCCTTGGAGTCCCACGCGAGAGTCTTTCGAACGAGGCTGGCCAGCGAAAGTCGCTAAGGATGGGCCGAAGGGGCAAGGATGCGAGGGTACCCTTGGGAAGGCTGCCCATCCTTACTATGCGGGGGGGATGTAGTCTCTCACCCTCCCTCTCTCTCTCTATCCCTCTCTCCCTCTCTCCCTCTCCCTCTCTGCCTCCCTCTCTCTGGGCACCGCCTGCGCGCCCCCCGCCTCACCCCCGCAGCGGCGGGAACACGACGAAGCGCGGGATCCGTCCAGCCGCGCCGCGCCCCCGACGGGCGGCGCGCCTCTCATGCCTCGGGCACCCCGAGACGAGGCCGCACGGTAGCAGCAGCCGCCGTGGGCCCGCGGCGCGCCAGCGATGAGCGCTGGGCCGCGGCATGGCACGTTACGCCAGGGGGTCGAGGATGACCCTCACCCCTCTCCCTCTCATCCCCCTTCCCCCCTCTCCTCTCCCCATCCCTCCCCTCTCCTTCTCCCTCCCTCTCCCTCTCTCTGTCTCTCTCTCTCTCTCTCTCGCTGTGGCTTTCGCTCTCTGGACCCGTGGGCTTCCGAGAGGCCCCGGGGGCCTCACCGTGGCCGAAGACCGCCCTGCAGAGGTGCGGCCAGAGCGCCTCAAGAGAGCCAACCCTCTGCTCTGGCTCCGGAGGGGCACAGCTGCTTGATGGCATCAATGGCTTCGACGATGCCCTCCGGGGTGGCCCCGAGAGGGCCCCCGAAAGGGGCAAGATGGCTCCAGGAGGGCCCCCCGAAGCACCCAAGCGGGCGCCAGAAGGGCCCCATAACTGCCCGAAGAGGGCTCCACAGGAGCGCCTGGAGGGCCCGAAGGTGGGCGATTTTTGGGGGAGCAGCTCGGGCTGATCCCTATTTCCCTCCTCCTCCTCCTCCTACTCCTCCTCATCACCCCATCATCATCATCATCATCATCACCACCATCACCATCACCATCAACATCATCATCATCATCATCATCATCATCATCATCATCATCATCATCATCATCATCACCATCATCATCATCATCAGCAGCATCATCATCATCACCACCATCATCATCATCAGCATCATCATCATCAGCATCAGCATCACATTCAGCATCAGCATCATCATCAGCGCCATCACCATCACCATCACCATCACCATCACCATCATCATCATTACCACCATCACCACAACCATCACCATCACCATCACCATCACCATCACCATCACCATCACCATCATCATCACCATCATCATCACCATCATCATCATCATCATCATCATCATCATCATCATCATCATCCTCATCCTCATCCTCATCCTCATCCGCATCCTCATCCTCATCCTCATCCTCATCCTCATCATCCTGCTCCTCCGCCTACCACTCCTTCCCCTCCTCCTCTTCTTCCTCCACCTCCTTCCCCGCCCTCCCTTGGTACCCACGCATCCCGGCCGCCAGGCCCAAATTGTGCCAACGCTCCCTGAGCGTCCCGCTTTGTGTCTCCGACGAATGACGACTGCATGCCACGGCCGCCAGGCCCAAATACTTAAATAGTGCCAGAGCTCCCTGAGCGCTCGCAACGAAATCAGGTGTATTTAGTGCTCCCCACGTCCCGTACCACAAGGGAACATTTTCTGGACGGACTGGCGGTGAGATGCAAAGCGTCGACAATTCGACGGCGAGACAAGGGTAGAGAGGTAGAGCATGGCAAAGCTTGGCCAGGGAACAGCACTATATCTTACGCGTTGTCCTGCCCCCAGCTGGCGAACTCCATGCCGCGTTCGCCTGGCACGTCGCTCCTCGAGCCCATGGTCTCAACACGCTGCGATCCCGCGAACCACCCAAACCTTCACCCCCAAATCCGGCTCCACTGACACCAAGCTGGGTTGCTCGCTCGAGGCGGGGGGTGTAACACCCTGAGTGGACGAAGTATTAAGCGACGCTAGAAAAATGAACGGTGTGAGCAACATTTTTCGGAGATCCGCGTGGGCTTCTAGGATCGGCGCTGGCCCCCCCTACCTGGCGCGCAGAGCGCGCCTAGAGGGCGCTGCCAGGGGGGGATCCAGCACCGATCCAAGAACTCCGCGCGGACCTCCCGAAATCTCTGCTCGTGCAGCGCCTCCTTCTTCGACCCTGGACGCCCGAGTCATCCAGGATAACTCCCGTCTAGGACAAACCCAAATGTGGGCCCCCGACGCCCGAACTAGGAGTAGAAGTTGCCCCTGACCCTCCCCTCCCCAGCCCCGATGACTCGGGAAGGGTTGGACGACCGAATGATCCGGAATAACTCCAGTCGATGACTCGGGAATGGTTGGACGACCGAACGATCCAGGATAACTCCAGGCTGGAGCAACTCCTGTGTAGGCCCCCGAGGCACGAACCAGGAACTACCCCTGACCGTCCCCAGACCTCATGATTCGGGGCTCTGACTGGAATCGAACCGATGAATCGGACCCGCGATCGACATGAATCGGATCGGCGGAAAACGGCAGCCGAGTCGGGAGACGTTGAACCGGCGGAAGGAAGGGGGGCAGGTAGGCCTCCAGGGAGAAATCGGAATCCGAATCGAATCGGAATCGGCAGCCATCGACATCGACTGGAACAGAGCCGGGGGAATCGAAAGGAGCCGCTGCCTGACGACTGGCGCCGGCGGGCCCGAGATATGGCGCCGCTGCGGGCAGCGGCGCCTCAGCCAGCAGACCCGCCTCCGGCGGAAGGCCAGGGCAGGCCCTGCGCGCGGAACCCGCGGGCCACCTCGGTGCCCACGAGCGGCGGCGTCGGACGGACACGCCGGGCCAGCGCCTCGAGATCTGGACCCATTCCCTGGGGCCCGATTGTCGTCCTGAGTCGTTGTTTGACGGTGCCGAGGCCCCTGTGAGGGCCCCCAAAGGCGGGCAATGGCGAAACACCTCCCGTCGTCACGACGCGAGGGGGTCTGGGCTCCCAGCTCGTCGCCGCGCGACCGCCGCAGCTGGCAGAGCCGCCTCCTGCAAACAGCCGCGCGGAGCCGAAGGGGACCAGTCGGGGGCGACCAAGGGGGGGCGTCCAAGAGGGGGGTGGGCGCAAATCATGGCTGGCGGCATGTGCGCGGCCCAGGGAGGGGGGCAGGGACGTAATGAAATTAGAAGAGGCGCCATGAAATCTGAGGAACTATCATGGCCCACACGATGATATCCCCCCCCTAGTCATCACCCCCCTCTTGGCCGCCCCCGAACCAGGGCAGGCCCTAAGCGCGGAGCCCTCGGCCGTGCCGGCCGTCGGTGCCCGAGTGGCTGGCGGCGCGCAGGCGCCCAGCGATCAGGAAGAAAGAACGGCACAACCACTGAACTTTCGGATGGGAGGCCACATGCGAACCCTGCCCCACCACCCCACGATTTCTAAAGGGGGAGGTGGGGTTGAGCCAAGTGAGCCCTACCTCCTCCCCTTAGAAATCGTGGGGTGGTGGGGCAGGGTTCGTATGTGGCCTCCTATCGGCGCTCCGCGCGGATTTTTCGGATCTGCGCTGGGCCCCCTTCCCTGGCGCGCTCCGCGCGCCAGGGGAGGCGCCCGCGGCGCCGCCTGGGGGGCCCAACGCAGATCTGAGAAAACGGCGAGGAGCTCCGAAAGCTTGTGTTTGTGCCGTGCTCCGGCGGCGAGCCCCGGGGGGAAGTGAGAGGGGGCAGGCCTTCTCAGAAGCCCCTTGGGCTTCTCGCCGAAAGCCCTCGGGCCTTCAGAGCAAGTCTCCATGTCTGCGGAGACGGCCCAGAGCGCTCCTCAGAAGGCGGGAGGCCTCCCGATCCTTGTGGGACGGCCCGCCCCCGCCGGCTTCCGCCCTGGGTGCTCGCCGCCGAGCTCCCTCTCCTTCGCCTCACAGCTCGTCGCCGCCCGCCGCCTCCAGCAGCCTCTCCACGAAGTCGGCCTTCTCGGCGCATCCGCGGCAGAAGCCCCCGAGGTCCTGCAGCAGCTCCCGCAGGGCGCGCAGCGGTTTCGACTGCAGCACCTCTCGTGCGAGCGCGGCGCCCACGTGCACAGTATGGTGTGGGCATTTGTTTTGTTTACTCTTCAAGGGCCCCGAGGGTCCCGCCAGTGGAATTCTAATCGTTGATCGGCTATGGGCACCACCGCCGCCCTCATTGGATAAGGAATCCTCCAGGGTCTGGCGCCTCCTGGGACTATTCCTTAACAAACGCCTCCACCGTGCCATGCTTGGGCCCCCTTCGCACGGTGCAGAGTCTTTCGTTCTTGAGGGCCGGGGCACGTTTTTCCGCACAACACGTGCGTGTACATGTTACGGTGCTGTCCCCGTCAGCTCGCGCGCGTGCCGATGGCATCACGAGCCTCTGAAAAGAGATAGCGCAACCCAAATCGAGAGACCGAAGCATCGACCAACCCAGTCCTGAGGGCCAGAAAGGTGTGCACCACACCCCTCCTGGGCTAAGGATCGACGACGCCTCCAGGCAACCACATGCGAACCCTGTCCCTGCAGGTCAGATTTCTGAAACGCCGACTGAGGTTCAGAATTCGAGCAATGTCTATAACCGAGTGGACCCCAGCAGGGGGGAAGTCCGACCTCCCACCGCCGATTGGACCCGCAGGGGTAGGGTTCGCAAGTGAGCGACGAGAAGAAACGGGTGCAACCTTACGCCGCGGCTCACGCGGGCCGCCAGCATGGCACGCCGCATGGAGAAGGGGGCGCCCACGCGGCCCTACGCGGGAAACTTGCGCGCGGCTGCCCTATACAGCTGCGCCCCGGACCTCTCCAGGGGTGCGTGCGGACCTGAGTTTCGAGGCGAATCCAGCCGTGGCCACGAGGGAAGGGTGGCGGCACTGGTGTCCCTCCCCCCTGCGACGTACGGTGCACGCGGAGCCGCCCGCGGACCTCGCGCGAACTCGCTCTCACCGCCTCCAGCGCCGCCGCGCGCTTCCGCTGCTGGGCCCGCGAGGCCTTCGAGCCCGCGCCCGCGGCGGCGGGCCGCCCCTTGCCGCTTGCGCCGGGCCGCTCCGGGGGGCGCGCGGGCTGCCGCGCTCGGCCAGGCTCGCCCACCTCCCCGCCGCCGGCCTCTCATTGATTATCAGGCAGCGTGTTAGCTCCAGCGTGCGCTTGTCCACCGGAGCTGTTCAATACGACGCGGGTGGCGCAGCGAGGGCCGGCATAGGCTGCGCGGTACTTGCGGAGAAGAAGTGGGTAAGTACACACACGCACACCACACACGTGGGCTAACACACGTCCTGAGAGGAATCGAGCCTCGATCAGCCGGCGCTTGTGGTCCAGGCACGCCGAGTTGTTGGCCGCCCGGAACTGGCTCGCCACGGGCTCCTCGGCGCCGGGGAGGTACTCGAACTCGAACACGCGGACGTTGCTGGCGCCGCGCGTGCGGCTGGGCGGCGTACACAAGTCCAGGAATAGGTACCGCCGACCCTCCACAGTCACCAGGAGGTCGAACAGCACGGGGCGATTCTCCGTCAGGCGCAGCTCGCGCTCCTCCTTCGTGGCCCGCTGGCCCTGCTGCAGGCGGGACACCTGCACCTCGCGCGATTGCACGTCGGGGTGGTAGTTGAAGTTCTGCACGTACACCTTGAACAGGCCCTTCGGGGCCGAGTCCGCGAACACGACGTTCTCCACTGGCTTCTCCGCGCAGGACCCAGCCCCGCGCCCGTGCACGCACATGTCCACGTCCAGCTCGCCGCCGCCCGCGCGGCGGCTACTGAAGCTGATCTCCTGCCCGCCCGGGATGGCCACGTGTAGGTCGAGATCGTCTGGCGTCGACCACCCCAGAGATGCCACCAAGACGCCCTCCACGTTGCCGCCCGCGTGGACCACGCGCCTCTCGATGTCCTCGACGAGCGCCGCCGTCGAAGCGGCATTGCGGCCATGCGGCGCGTCGCTGTCCCCAGCTACCACCACGGCCTGCTCGCGAGGATGCGGGCGCCCGCTACCATCAGTGGCGGCGCTGCGTGCGTGAGCTCGTCTGCCGAGCGCCAGGGTCAGCAGCGGCGGCAGCAGGCGCATGGCCCAGAGCGGCGCATCTCGATCCGAAATGGCTACGGATGTTTCCTCCTCCTCCTCCTTCTCCTCCTTACCAACAGCAGTAAAGGACGCTGACAGGCGTCCACTACACCAGGCCGATAGCTATCTGACGCCGCCGCCAAACCGCAACCTAAGTTGCGGTTCGCTCCTCCTCCTCCTCCTCCTCCTCCTCCTCCTCCTCCTCCTCCTCCTCCGCCTACTCCTACTCCATCCATTTCCCTTATAAGTAACTCCGTTTTGTCGCACCCCCAGACGCGTCGGTGGGGCGGGCCGGGCGTTTGGCTGGAGAGCCCTTCGCCTTTTATGACCCTGAAGCTTGAGCCTTGCAACAGATTCGCGGGTGGAGAGCGGGCCGTTTTCAAAATTGCCCTCGCCTAGCCACCGCGCCCAATCGCCTTAAAAGTTCGCAGCTGTTTCGCGGATGGGGGGCAGGTCGTTTTCAACATGTGGCTCTCGCCTTAACACCGCGCACACTCATCTTAAACAATTTACAACAACTTCAATAATGGAAAAAAGGGTTTCTTTTCAAAACGTGGCTCTCGCCTTAGCGCCGCGCACGTTCGTCTGAGTCTGCAACAACTTCACGTATGGAGGACGGCTCCTTTTCAGAATCAGGCTCTCGCCTGAACGCCGCGCGCAGTCGCCTTGAAAATAGCAACATGTTCAAAGATGCGTATGGCCGAATTCCCAAGAGTGGTGCTCTGGCACGGTTTAGGAATATCCGGACGCAGCAAGAAAGTCGATCCGCGGTGAAATCTCAAGACGGGATTTCTGGCACGATCTGGGATTGCAAAAACGCAACAACCACGCTGATCCGCAATAGTCACGCTGATCCGCAACCGACACGTTGATCCTCCGCGTTGAAATCTCACGGGCGATGTTCTCGCACGGTTGAAGATTATTAAACAGCTGTCTTCTAATGGGCCGCCTCCCGCACTGGAAATAAATGCTCTGGGGACCTGCGAGGAGGGAACTTGGAGGAAGGATTGGCAGCACCATCGTTGATACGTCTTGGGTTTACAATAGTCCTCCTCATCTACCCCCTCCAACTTCTCCGTTTACTCCTCCACTCTCCACCCTCCTTCGACTCGTGCCCGTCTACATGGCCCAGGGCGAGGTTCGACGTGGACGATCCTGAGTTCAAGCTATGTCCCAAATGCTTGCTCCACGGCGAGGCCTACCGCGACCCAGACCAGTACGCGAGCCAGGCCCTCAGCCAGCATGAGCAGTACGACTGTTTTTGGTTGCGAGGGCTTCTCCCACGGGGGTGGGCCGAGGTCCCAGCGCCCATGGCGCAGGAGTTCTGGGCCTTCACATCAGATCTAGATGGTGATGACCCAGTCCTCGCTGTCGGAACCGACGACCCGCCGCTCTACATCTGCGGAGGTGCCAGCGGAGGGCCGACGCCCACTCGCCGAAGCTGAGGCGCGTCGGCATAGGTTTCACCATCATCGGGCAGCGTGAGCCAGTCACTGTTGGCTTAGAGGCGCGCTCGTCACTGAGCGGGCGCCGTCAGACAGTCTATAGAAGTGAGCTGGCCCTGCTAGAACATGTCCTCCGATGCGCCCGGGGCGCGGCCGTGTATCTCACAGACAACGAGGAGATGGAGAAAGGCTGGAGCTCTTGAGTCAACCTTCGCCCTCGTGATGCCCAATCGGGCGTTGACCTTTGGCAAGCCATCGGTCGACACACGCAAGCAACTGGATCTCGACGCGGCCGAGTTTCAAGCGGCAGAGCGAGGGTGCGCGCCGCGGAGGTGGCGCGGTAACGAGCGAGCGGGCCAGCTGGCAGGCCAGGCAGCCAAGGGGCACAGGCTGCCTGAATGTGTGCGCACACGCGTTGCAGTCCATGAGAAAAGAGCAGAGCTGGTCAGGCGAAGGCTTTTGCGGGCCACCATGGGCGCCATGAGCGTCGACCCGAGGCCTAGGCGTGAGTTCGAACAATTTCGTGTCATTCCGCCTGCCCCGTCGACCGTGTCGAGATTCCGTGCCAAGCACACCCTTGATGATAGTGGCCGCCAGTGTTCGAGATGCAAGGGGTCCGCGACCAAAAAATGTCTCAACGATTGGCTGAAAACGCCAAGTTCTTCTCTGCAGCATGTAGACGGCGTCGTTTCAAGTATACCTCCAGGGTGTGAAATCCATCGAGCGGGGGGGTGGCTGCATTCCTCTCATAACCTTCGGCTTCACGAAACCTTGAAGCTCTGGTTTTGCGGAGCCTGCGGATTTTACTCCTCCGATCAGATCCGAGGGCTTGCATCCGAGTGTTTACATAGAGCCAACAAATCCCGACAATTTTATTTAAACAGGATCGAGGATGGGCTCCGGCCAAAGCTTTTGTCGTTGTCGGAGCAACGAGCCAGAGGCCGCGCCCCTCCTTAACTGATTATTTCGCTTCGCGGTTTGACCATTCCCATTGCTTCCGCTCCCCTCATTCTGAAATCCCTCCATGTAGAGAGTTCTCACTAGAAGCGCTGGTCCGACGTCGATGGCGGCGATTAGGAGAGCTCGACAAAGTATCCACCCAATGGCGGCGCCGGCGCTGAGGACTGCATGATGGAAGGTCTGCTGGGAATCTCTAAAGATCCCTCTGCAGTCGGGGAGACAGGGAGGCAACGGGAAGCTTCGACGAAATTCTGGAGAGGCAGCGCGATGGTGGAGTGACTGACAAATTATCGCCGGATCCTTTCACGCGCGCAGCGGTAAGGACTCGGCGGCCGCCGGGCGGCGCAAGATGCCCCAGGCTGCTACCCTGGGGGACGCCCTCGCGAGCTTGGATTGTAAGGGGCCGCTTAGGCCGCGCCGCTCTGAACGAGAAGTGCATGAAATTTCGGGTTGGTCACAGGGCGCCAGGAAACACGAAGCACGAGTCAGAAGGTATAGATGCCTCGGGTTGGACCACAGCTGCGGAGTGAGAATCTAGTTCGACAATCACTCCAAAGTCAAACATACATGTGGCCGCCGCTCTAAACTCATTCGAGTGTGATCGGCAACCGCGCGGACATTTCTCAAAACGCATCGGCAACCACTCGGAAGTTAGACACACGTGAAAACACACATATAACGCGCTTGGAATGTTCGACAAGGCATGAAGCCACATCATAGAACGTATGCCAAACCATTTGGGAATAGCCCCCCCGCCATGTCCAGATTATTCCAAGCGTGTGTCTCACTTCCCATTTGCTGCAAACGTATTCCAGGGTGTTGTCTCGCATCATGCTTGCCCCCAAACTGTTCCTGTACATCGTTTGCACTTCGTATCTGTCTTGCACTGCGCCTTGCACTGTGGTAAGCATGGCACTTGATGTTGGTCCTGAACTTTGTTTGGATTTTTGCGTCAACCGATCGGCATCGCGGAAAAAAAAAAACAGCAAGGGGCCCGCCGCTGCCGCGCAGAGCCGGCCGCCAGCGGCCCAAGCTCTCGAAGCAAGGCAAAAGGGTGGCGAGCATGCCCTAGAAAGCTCCTGGCTGGGGGTCTGGCACCTCTGTCCATTAGCTGCTCCGTCGGCTTGGTGCTGCAGCGGCGCCGCGGCTGGACCCGGCTCGAAATACTAGCGCCCTACGCAGCGCCCCTGGCGGGCCGCCAGGTAGAGCCGCAGTGCCTGTGATTGGCCCGCAGGCCCGCTGCCAGGCCCGAGGGGCCTGGTCTGTCGTAGCGACCGACCCCGCGGAGCGGGGATGCGCCTCGCGCGGCGCACCCTGGCCTCTGACCCGACCCTCCTCGCCCCGATCCCGCTCATCTTGTCGCCGCAGCTCACCCACCAACTCCTCGTCGTCCGCCTTCTCGTCTTTCTGCTTATCAGCCTGGCCGCGCTCATGCTGTTCAGATGCTCTCCCGCGCCATCGGGATTGCCCCCCCCCCCCCCCCCCCCCCTCGTTCGCAATGCCCCTTCTTGCCGTCGTCGCCCTTCTTCCTCCGAGCCCGGCGAGCTGCGCATTTGTCGCGGGGGAACATAACGAATTCCTCCTCCACCTCCCACGCCAAACCCTTCCTGTGAGTCACGTCGCGCCCCCATCTCTCGCGCCCTCGTCTGCCGGGTCACGTCGTCCACGGCCTACTTTGCAAGGGGGCGCCAAGTCGACGCTGGCTCAAACCGCAGGAAACAATGTCTGATAACCCGGCGCGCCCTCTGGATATCGCTGGGCGCGACTTGCGACGAACAGGGCGGGAATGCGAGGGGTCGCAGGCAAGGAGGCGCATATGCGTTCCCCTGTGGACTGTTTTCCTGTGGAGACCTTTGTGAGCACCCTCGCGAAGAGGTCCAGAAAGAAGGAAATTGGCAAGGCCGATGGAGTAGAGAGGAGTAGGAGGGGCCGTGAAGACAAAACACGCAGCACGTTGTTGTTTCCGCCGCCCCGCCCGGCCCCCGAGGATAAAACAGACAATGGGGCAAGCGCACGTTTTTTTTTTTTTTTTTTTTTTTTTTATTATATATATATAATATATATATATATATGTATATATATATATATATATATATATATATATATAAAAAAAGAAAAAAAACCAAGTGGTATTCTGGCATGCGACATCGGAGCAATGAACAACATGGAAGACGAAGCCAGCGTCGACCGAATTCGCCCCCCACCCGCGGCTATCGAACCCAACGCCACCCTCCTTCGTTTACTCGACTCAATCTTGACAGGGACATGAGATGAACTCTGAGATCTACACATCGAACGAAAACGGTGGTCAGCGTTTCATATTTCTATCCTCTGGGCGGCAGCTGCCGACGGTAAGGGGCATCCACCTGGTGGCGCGGTTACAATCGGTAGCGCGAGTACTCACCGTGGAGTTCCCGGCGTTCCACGAAATTGTAACGGACAGCGCCGCGGGGGAAGTCTTGATCAATATTCGGCATTACGCGCGGCAAATGGTCATTGAAAGTTCGCGAGGGGCTCTATCTATGGCTGGAATCCCACAGGACACGGGCAACCCCGCATGCCCGAAACAGGTACTTCCCTGAATGTCTTCAAACACGGTTGTGCGACAAACCCGCGGGCCCTCAGCGCCAGCGCGGCGACTGGAAACCGCTTGTTCTGGCATCGCAATGGCTATCTAAAAGACTCCAGATACCTAGCAAAT